TACAAATGCTAATAGTACAGATAGCTAACATTTGCTTAGTAATGTTTAAGTGGTTATTAATTATCACTTTGAATTTTAGATTGCATATCTGCCCACCCTGAAGATACAAACAGGCAATATCCATCAATTTATCCACAGCTAGATTTAGCAACTACTGCAGAAGCTCAGCAGTTCCTGTAAGTAGTCTCTTATTAAGAGATGGTAACACTAAATAACACTAGATAGTTAACTAGATAGAGATATCTCTCCTATGTAATTGATCCAGTGAGTTTATGGAAAGCTCAGGGAACACAACTGTTTAATACTTTTACACATCAGTTTAGTAAAACAGGTGAAAAACGACCTTTGCTCTAGACATTGCTTAACATGCTTTTATCTCAAGAGTCAAAGTATACCTGAAATATTTATGATTTTCTGCTTGAGTCTTGACAGTGCTTCAGTGAAAGGAAGAATCAGATGAACTGTAGAGGTCAATAAATTAAACAGTTTAAGATAGGAGGGGAGCCCTTGCAGTTTCCCATCTATTATGCGAATGGGACACTGGCCCACTTGCTCCGGCTGCTCTCAGTTGTGACGTAAGGTAGACAGACCAGCAAAAAACATGTAATGATCAGAATATATAGTTTTAATACTTTCTCAGTTACTTTCAATGTATTACTGTCTCCTAGATTTGCAACTGAAGCACAAAACAATAGTGTAAGCGTTCCAGCTGGACATACATATAGCAATGTGAGTATCAGTCATGTTCAGAATAATCATTCTTTGCTGGGAAATGTCAAAAGGCGAACTGTTTGAATTTACCCTGACTGATGTCCAAATGGATACAAAGATCTATTCCGTGGCCCTTCTCCATACCTCAGAGAATGCTTGGTACTTAGTACTAGTGACCAAGTTATTATTTAGTGACCAAGCCATTCTTGATATCATAGATGCTAATATGAAAGCGCATTTGGTTGGGTTCAGCACAATCTTAGTGGAGTCTGGAGAAAGCAGTTGCTATGCTATTTGTATTTAATCTGTTGCTGTATGGAGCAAGCCATGATCTCTTCCTGCCATCATTATGTTACTCTGGTATATTTTCTGTTTCAAATACGACCCAAAAAAAAGAAAAAGAAAAAACTTAAAAATAAAATACAATGTAGGACAAGTGGTGTATGCTGCAGACAAAATACCAATGACAGAAAAGCAAAGAATACGAAGGGGCTTTGAGGGGTTTAGTGTTAAGAATTTGAGTGCTATTCTGCAGTAGGCAGTATGAAATAGAAAAGATGAGAAGCAATTCCCCCACAGACACTCACACTCCGTATTTAAGCAGCAAGTAAAAGCAGATACCTGTATTACGAATATTGCAGTCTCTGAGTCTGTGTAGTATAACAAAGTACATAGAAGTAAATTACACAGATGTGCTATTGATAATCCAAAAAATGTTTTGAACGTTATTGTGTGGAGAGTTGACATTAGTTAGATGAATAACCATTGACCTGATCTTTACAATTTACCTGCTATAGTCTGAGACTCTAAAGGTAAGTCAGTAGTTTTGAAACTTGAGTCAAAGTGGTTCTCATAGATCAATCGGTTTATGCGCTATTTTGCTTGATTTCCTTAGCTTACGACTCTTTTAAGCCCAGTGCCTCTGAATCCAGTAAATCTGCAGACTGGACATACTACATCATTAAATGGAGCCTCACCAACAGGTAAAAAATACTGCAAACCTAACCTTCATGGAGGTGTTTTTCTTGTTAGTGCTTAAGGGCTTTACGTAACGGTTGTTAAAGACTAGGAGCAGCAGCAAACAGTGATGACAAAATCTCACATCATTCATGGCCTCTCTTAGAGATGCTTACCAATTTAGTATTTAAAGCAACCAGATACATTGGAAATAGTCTTCTGAGTTTCTTTTCTGAAACTCATAACTTCTGAGTTGCAGAAAGATATGAAAAAGTAATATGCATTAAGCACACTTTTTCATTTACATTTAAATCAGGATTAATCTATCTGTCTTTACCCTTCAGCTGCATCAAAGAGCAAGTCACAGGCACCTCATTACTATGAGATAATGGAATTTGATCCCTTGGCTCCCAAAGAGTAAGTAACTTCTAAAATAAATTATCTACAGTTTTCTTAGGTGTGAGAGGCAAGAAGGCTTCTTAGAAGGGTTTTTCTTTTGAGTTAGAGAACATACCACACTAATTAGGTTGAGTTACCTGCCCAGCTGGACTGCTAACATAAAGGGGAATGGCTGCGTTTTGTACACTTTCTTTCAATATGGATGGTGTAACCAACCAAAGAATAAACTTCTTTAGCATGTTCATTAAACAGCATCTGTAGAAACGATGGACTAATGCTATCTCAAAAACAATCTACTAAAATCTTATTCAATGACATGAAAAAATGAATAAAACACAGTAAGGGGTCCTGGTGAAGGAAGCTGGTTGACACTTCAATGGAGGTAGTTTTGGAGCTAGGTAACTAAAGTAATGCCAGTTCATGGCACTCTTGATTTTTAAAAACATTTTGCTGACTCTGAAGAAATACCTCTATTTAAAACATAGCTACAAAAGCAAATGGATGCTGGAACTCCCCAGATGGCCAAATAGCCAGATAGATAAACTAATATGAAACTAAACAGATGGCAGAACTCTCCTTTCCACCAATAGACCGCCAAAAATTGAGTATCTACACAAAACTTACTTCTGAGGAACCATGAATTTCTGAGGTAGAAAAATCCCAACAAAGCATTTTTTATTAACTAGTGCACTAATTACATGTCATGTGGCAAACTGGCCATTTACATTTTGCAGTCATGTTTCCAAACTTACTCCATCAAAAGTGAAAACGTCCAGAGGTATCTCATTAAACGTGTAATCAAACGCACCACAGAATTAGCTCTTTGCCTCTGTGTAAACCTGAGCATTTGCAACTGATGCTACTCTATTAAGCAAACACTTTAAACTCTTGGCAGTTTAAGCTGGAGCAGGATTTCGTTGGTGTGTTTTATCTAAATAAAATAAATCAGCTGCGATATAGGAGTTGTCCTATTTGTCGTCTTTCAGAGCTATTTATGAAGAAATTGATGACGTTCTGCCGAAGCCAGAAATTAAAAAGGATGCAGAATGCTGAGGGTGGACGTGAATTCTTTTACTGAACACACAAGTGGTTCTCCGATGCCAGTCTTCTGTACTGTTTCCATTAATGTATGAATGAATAAGAGAACAGTCTTGTATTTTAACACAACAAAAAATAAGCATTGGAGTATTAAGCCATATGGAAGTAGAAGAGTTACTTGGATAACTACACCTTGATAATTTGCCTGAAATGTTCAACTTTGTGGTGCCTTACATGCTTATTTTTAGAGTACTGGGGGGCCTTTAAAATATGCTTTCCAAATTCACCTGTGTATAAAGTAATACTTGATCTGACACAAGTAAACCAAAAAGACTGTTGCAACTACAGAAGAAAGCTTTTTCTTCAAGTTAACGACTCCACTGTACTGCTTTATCTTTTTATGCAACAACCAAAACACGACTTTGTTTATACAGAAACTCCATAATCTAGTCTCTTGTTTTGGCCTCATTGCTGTGTATGTTAATCTCCATGGAAATTGGTAAGAGCTTTTCCATATATAGAAATCTTCCAAAATTGGGCCTCTTCATAGTTGTCTGAAGACATTCAGTGTTAAACTGTTTGCCTTTATATTCCAAACACAGGTTGTTTTCCTCCTGAAACCCTGCAAAATAATTGGATTTTTGTCTTGGTACGAATATAAGCTGGGATATTAGGTACTGCAATCCATGATTAACAGAAGAGGAAAAAACCCACTTGTTCCTATGCTATTGTTACTTCTAACTTTATGTACTCAGTAAATAATGGAAAGGGATCAATCATTTCTTTTCAGTGTTCCTGCCCTGCAGAGACTTTCATTCTGGTACAGTGCAGATGAGCATTAGTTATCCAGTTATTTTAGTGAAGTAGTTTAACCCTGTTAATGACAGTTGTATCTTTTAATAAAGTGCCTTCTCTACTTTTATGCTGAATGTAAAATTTGCTCTTGGACAGATTCAGGAATTCTGTGAATTTATAACTGATAAAAAAAATTTGAGAACTCATGTTCATAGCTTGTAAGCTGACTTTTTAAGTACTACATTTTAAGCTTGCATTATAACAACCTTGTGGGTGATAGCAAGTTCTCAGTCTGTTATGCAGGTTTTATAGTACAAAATTCCCAATAAAACAAATATTTACTGAGAATTTCACCTCTGTCACTTCTGAGTTTTTCACCAGCTGACGTGTAACTCCATGAAATACCAAGTGCAGACAGTATTGGAAGTGTTTGAAGTGTGAATCCATGGTGGTGTAAGTGTCTGGTAGCAGTTCTGCAGCCAGCTATTGGGCCAGTAGAACACCTTTAACTTCTGTCAAAAAGACTAGCTTGAAGAATGGAGGGGGGGGCCTATATCAGTATAGTGATTTATAATAGATGATTGCTAGCTGAATTTGTCCAGCATATTTTCAAGAAGCAAAATAGTTATAGCTTTAATCTGTAAGAGAACTGGCTAATGACTCAGGTCAGAGAGTTTGTTTTATCTTTGGAACATGCTCAATATCTGTGCAAATTTGGGCTTTCAAACTTGGGGGAAACACCTGCGTTTTTAGGAAAGTGAGCACTTGGAAAAACTCTCTTCTAATGCTTTTGTCAGGGGCTAGTCATCTTCTTTTGAAACACTTTGCTTTTTTCTGGCCATCTGTGGAAAACTGCCAGAATCAGTTAAACTTTCAAAAGAAAATGGAGCTATAAAACAACTCAGGTAAGACTTTTTTTTTCCCCCCTAAACCTAGATTCAAAGAATTTGTCTTGAGTACATTTTTTTTTTTTTAGCACAACCAGTATTAGGGACTATAATAAAATAAGGCTTTCTGACATTTTCATATAGCTGTTTCACTTCTGTAGGGGTCCACATATTCTGCTAGACAAAATGCATTGAAGATTACAGAAGAATAAAAAAAGTTTTAAAATTTTAATAAATACACAGTGAAGATCTGACATTGCTGTCATCCAGATTTTTTTAAGTTACAAAGATATTTAGTAGAATAATGCATTTTAAAGGTAGTTTCCTTGTATTTACACTGTTCAGTTTGTATGTGAACATAAGTGAGACAACGTAATTTAAAGTTTTTTTGATATACCCATTACCTTTTTACAGTCAGAACAAACTAACACTTGTCTTTGTTAGATCTCGTCCACTGAAAGGGGTAGAAAGAACTGGCCTAGTAAACTAATTTCTGTCTGAAAATGGGTAGGTCATTTAAACTTGCTCTGCAATTCGCTCCTCATTTGCAAAGCAGTGATAAAGTGTTATTATCCCTACCCTGCAGATAATGACAAAAAGTTACATAAATACAGGCTTAGGTGTACCTCCCATCAACTGATATGCTTCCAGGCAGGCTTTGTTGGACTTAAGCTCTGAATGTGGTTGACTTCCTTTGGTTTTTGAGCAGACACCTTTGCCTGCTAAGTTAACCTGAAAGTCAGAACAGCTGTTTATGTATGAAAAGTTTCGAAGAGAAAGCCAGTACATAAGCCTAGCTTTCCTCTATTTAGAGGTGCCCAGCGTATGGCCCCCTCAGGGGTGAAAGCAACAGTTAGTACTAATTTTCAATGACTTGAACACAATATCCAAATTTGGAGATAGTATTTCTAATTACAAACCCTGCAGGAAACATACAAAAAGATTAGTTCCATCTCAAGTCAGACACTTCCACAAGGAGTCCACCATTTTGAAATGCTTACGTTTAGTTTACTGTACCTTATTCACATGATAACAGTTCCAGAGCAGTCTGCTCTTACCAAATAAACTACTGATTCAGTAATAATTAAAGAGGCAGCATCATCTACTGAATCATTACCTTCTCCTCTGCTGGGGAAGGGTTACTTAGCAATTCACTCTAACTTTGTTTAGTTTGGGACTTCATGAACTGACTAAATACATTATTGTAAAAGTTTTCACTGAAAATACAAGGTAAATGGAAGTTATTCTTCAGAGTCAGCAACACAATTTTAGATATTTATTAAACAGATATGTTCCTCTGTATGGAAAGTAAAACATGTATCATTAACATGTATCATTATAAGAGATGGCTTTGAGACTGCTGCCTTTCTTCTAGAAACACAGAGATTCATTTTGTTTTGATGATAAAATACTATTCCTAAGGCAATTATAACTACGAGTTTAAAAAAATAGAAAAAATTGTGTCAGAACAGCAGCATGTGCCCACCGTGGTTTAAGAATATAGTTTCATATTGCACAGTACTCGTGTAGTTTTTGTACAGTTTTTCCTTCCATGGGAAAATGGTCTCAAAACTGGTGGTCAGGTAGCAGAAGTCCAATTATGTAGATATCGCCTATTACTGATAGCCTGGAAGTGGTAATTTGTGTCCTTCCTTTGCTTCAAAAAAGGTGTAAGAGAGAGTGATCAAATCAACTTTAGCCATTTTAGGGTCCTCTGCAAATTCTGGATCAATGTAGAAAAAGACAGGCATGTCCACTTCCTCTTGAGGATTAAGCCGCTGTTCTTCAAAACAAAAACACTGCAGGGGGGAGGGGAAAAAATTAGACAAAAAAGCTATAGTGAGCTTTCTCTGCCCACGTGAGACAGCACTTCATCTTTTAAATCAACTCTCATTCCCTGTACGTTCCTCACATCTAAGGAAGGGTGAGCACTCAGGATAACAAGTGCCATTTCAGCAACGTGACACCAAGACGGCAATTCTGTTCCTCATGCATTATAGGAAGAAATTATCTTTTAATGATTTGTCTCAAAGTGCAAACTGGACAAGCCACCTCACATCATTAACATCAACTGCCCTCAAAGTCACTTGTACTAACGTAGATTAGGAAACCACTCTACTCTAACATGTTACGGCCTGTCAGGAAGACGGCAAGACTAAGAATGAACATGGTCATTTTAAAACCTGAAGGTACTTTCAGGTACTATGGGCATACTAAGAGTGGACTCCAGGGTTGAAATTCAAAATCCTCATCTATGGGTAACAATTCAGTTACATTCATATAAAGAAAAATACAATCAGTGCTTTGTTCACACTTACTTGTATTTTATTGAAATACTGTCCTGCTTCAAAGGGCACTACGTTGTAGGTAGAGATTCCAATTACTGGCTTGTCAGTAGGATTTTTTGCTTTATAAAATGCCAGTGCAGTCTCTCCTGGTACCACCTGTATTAAAAAAAAATCACATGAGGATTTTTAATACACTGGAGCCCTCCATCCCTCAAAGTCCTTTAGAGTTTAGTTGGACTAAGTATGAGTTTATTTTCTCTTTTGTCATTTCAAATTAGTTATTTGTATGCTTCACTAACATCTTACTTATAGATAACTTACCCCTGTTCTAAATTACAAATATTAAAAGCACCCATATATGTGCATTTTGAATCTTGACCAATTTACCGCTGAGCTTCTACTAGTCTCAGCAGTTTACCAGCATGCAAAGCTTTTTTAATAGATAGATTTATATACGGTGTACTTTTCCATTTTTGAGATTATCATTCTTTCAATAATGAATTCAGAAGCTAATTAAGAAGCATGACTGATTTTGAGAGCCTTCAGCAATGATTGATTTTAAACAGTAAAGCTGGATTTTAAAAAAGTTCCTTTTTATAAAAAACAATCCTGGAAGGAGAATGGCAAGAAAAGAAAGTACCAGCCTGGCAAAACTCCAAAGTCTTAGATATCTAGCTATACTGGAAACTTTCTTACACTTGTACAGAATGAGTTGCAACCTTTTTTGGCAGCTTGATGAGTAAAAAGAACCAACTATAAGATAAGTATGACACAATAGGCAATAAAAGTTTACAGAAACCCTCTGGCAGATAAGCCATGAACTATGGCTCTTCCACCAGGACTGAAAATAAAATTCTGAGCTGCGAGTATTACGGACTAACAGTTGTGCTGTTTCTGGATCAGCACCCAGACACGGGCGCGAACTAACCCACAGGAGCACGACGGCAACGAAGGTCGCAAGAGGTAAAAACCTAAGCTTCAGTTTTAAGCTCCGTTAAGTAATTCTTTGTTAGCGTGAAAATGAGGTAAGGCACTTACGTAGATCTCCGTTTGTTGAGGTTTGAAATTCCAGTGTATACTTGCGTGCACATCGGCGTTGAAAGTGACCTTAATAACCCGGTCTTTAACAGGCTTCATGCTCTCGATCTGCTCTGGCCCGCGGCCCGCTCCCGTCGTTCCACCCAGGCCCGTAGCCTTTCAAAACGGAGGGAAGTGAGAAACCGCCCGGGGCCTTTTCGGCAGC